GCCCGGCCAGTTCGGCCGCAGCGTTAGCCAGATATCCGAGTGTAGGAAACCGTGGCAGGAGCACGGCGGAACGTGGCACGGCGCGGCGGGAGTAACACTGCGTTCGTGTCCCGTTTCCACTGCGCGGCACCGTGAACAAGCAAATGCCATTTCCCGAAGCGAAATGTGAGTGAGCTGACAGATCGCGGGAAGTGTCGGGGACTTTTCCTTGCCTAGCAGCGGTGCAGGCGGCAATTCCGCTCCGCACAGCGCGGTGCGCTCCGCCGGCACTCTGGCACCGGGAGCGCCCGCTCGGGGCCGGGCTGGGTCGGGCTCGCAGCTGCCCCGCGCACGGGATCAAGGACAGAGCCACCTCTGGCATGGCACTGCTGGTTTGGTTACACCGCTCTCCGCGGAGCTCCGCGGTTCTCGCCCAGTCTCAGACCTGTTACTCTCGCCTTCGCCTATCTAAATCGGATTTATTTGTTTTAGACAGAGGACTGTTTCAAGTTCCAAGCAGCAGCCACCACGGTGACCTTCTTTCGTCCCTTCAGCCTTTGCCTTCTCCGCTGCTAGTTTCTGCATTTCCCTCCCATCTGCCTTTCTCATCACTGCTGTGCCTCCCGCGCTGGCCTCGGGGACAGCCTGGTTTGAGGACAGCAAGAGCTCTGGATCACTAAGTAGGGCTGCAAAACAGTCCTAAGATTACTTTCCTCTTGGCCGTGTTTCTTATACAAGTCCGCATATAATCAGATCGATGCCAAGTCTTCCTGTACTCGTTCACTCAGTCTGTGACTCATTAACTTCAGTTCACTTAGACTAGTTCAGTAGAATTGCAAGACCATAGCACTGGCATAAAATTTATCTTCTGAATGTCCTGGACCAATAGATTTGAATTAATTGCTATTAACATTACTGTGAAATTTGGTCAGGCTGGTAAGCTTCCTAAGATTGAACATGATTTCTCCCTTCCCTTGTCTCCCTTTCTTCATTATCCTCTGTTAAAAGCTAACAGTTAACATTTGAGAGGAGAAATCTTGTAATTTGTTTCTTAAACTTCTGACTAGAGCTGCACTTTGGTTTTCTACAGTCTTATTAATGTGAGATAAAGCTTTCTTTACAGCACACTACAAGGGACATATACAATCATAAATAGAGCTCTTTCTGTAAGGAATTAAGCTTCCATTTTGCCTAGAGCATTGTCAAAGCTGGAAATTCTCTGTGCCGGAACACTTAGACTTTCTTCAATCTAACATCAAAACATCTCTTTGTTTGCTCTGACTTGTTCAAAGATGGAAGAAACAGAACCGGAATTCAGTGTAAATCGTAACAGTCCCTGGCAGAACAGAGTTCATACTGTGATGAAAGGGAATTCTAGTTTGGCAGAGGACAAAACCTGCAGCCTGGAGCGGACTGATGCAGAAAATCCCCAACTATTCCACGCAGAGTTCATTGAATGCCCACCACCTTGTGCCCCAAAATCACCCCACTGTGCACAAACCCAGTGCTGATTGCATCTGTGCTACTCCCTGTGAAAACCAGAATCCACGTTCTTATCTTAGGCCAGTTTTACAATTACTGTAAAAGGAGTAAGAAATGTATCTTCAAGTCCTGAGTCTGGTGGCACAAACTAACAGTCAGTCTTTTAACAATGAAGAAAATACTCTTCAAATCAGCTATTCCCATGTGTTGACTTTGGTAGGCTGATGTACTGCTTATACATTTAGATACATATAATAACATATAATTATATATATTACATTATAATAAGTGCATGGAAACTGTTAACAATTTATTACTCTATTTACATGTATTTTACTGCAGTTCCATATATGCACTTACTATACCTTTTATATATATAATATAGAATGCACACACACATATAGGTACAATAAATTTAGCCCTTGTGACATAGTGGAAAGGCAGTGTGTTATTTTGGGAGTTGTCTTCATATGGAATTTGGACTGGTTCTGGCTTCCAAGGGAATGGAGATTGACCAAAAGTGAAAAATTTGCACATTTTTGTACAGACAGCTAGACTCAGATTTTAGTACAACTCGAGAAATAACAATTGTGTTTTCCAATGTTTCACTTAAACATCTTTATAATTCAATTAGCATCTTTATAACTGCTATGAAACATATTTATAAATGCTATGAAATCATAATTTTGAAGATAAAAAGTCAGATTATTAGCTGGAAAAAATAAAGCTTACCAAAAGGCAGTTTTTACAAACATCTTAACTTTGGAGGTTTCTCAAGGCACCACTTTAGGGAATAGTATTTTCAAGCTGCTGAATATTCTTTTCTGCTTGCAAGATGTTTTCTATCCTTTTGACACTTAAATGAAGAATGCCTGGACACTTTTGGAAGCCAGTAAGACAGTAACTGTTATCAGAGTTTTGAAAACACATTTTTAACTGCCAAGTTTTTACCCCATTCCAAGTGTGGCATTTGAAACAATTTGGAAGCAACATTATTAGAGCCACCTTAGCATACTTTTGGAATCAGCACTATTGCTCTTCCTGTGAAGAAAGCAGAATTTGCACTGGGGTTAATTCACATGCAAGTACAGTAATTTGACTATATTACTTACAGTAATACAGTTTAATGTCAGCATAAATATATAGAGGACTTGAGGCTACATGCACTAAGTAAATACATACATGTACTCGAAAAGCTGCTTGGGCAAATACACCTCAGTGGTTAATAAAGTATTATTTTCTTTCAATTTATCAAATGTAAATTAGTTTTATGTATATTCAAAGATTAAGTTTTTCTCATAGTGAATTAGAAGTGGTCTAATTATAGCTATCATCAGGTGATGCAAGATCCCAGCAAGATGACAATATTATGATGCTATAAATAATTTACTTATGTAGAGAATCACACTTTACCATATTAATAACTTTAATTTTAGTATTTTGGTTTTTTCCCCTAAGTATTAAAAAGCAGTTTTTCTCTGCACATTTTCAGTTATCTTAAAAATGTGACATCCAGTGAAAGATTACCAAAATCTTTTTCCTTAGAAGAACAGCTGACAGTCTATCCAGCCCCACTGGTAAGCATTTGATTCAGACTGTTAGGAACAGGACAGGAAGTTTGGGGGGGGGAAAAAAAATCCTCCCATTTTAGATAAGTATCCCACGGTTATTTTAATTTTAACACAATCTGTTTTTATATATACTTCTTGTTTCTTCTGCTGTCCTCAAAAATTCCATGTGTCCTTTAGGCACTGGTACTTTCCCTGTAAAGAAATTCTGTCTCTTGCCTTCACTCAGAACAAATTTTGTGTTTCTTGACTGCTGCCACAACATTTCAGCATTCTCTTCAAACCCTTTCTCTCTTGTTAAGAAACTCCATATATTATAACCTTTATTTACACTTTAAATGTAAATTTAAATCCTGGACCATATTTTGATTGCAAATGTAATGCTGTTAGTGACTACAGGCCAACCAATGATAACAAATTTCAGATTATTAAATTTAATTCCACTCAAATAAATTAATTTCACCTTTTCACTGCCCAACTTTTTTTTGAAAGGAAAGAACCTCACAAATAAAAGCCATGTTCTTGTCTGCAATATTTCTTGTTGTCTCCTCATTTTTCACACTGCTGTTTTTAATTACTGTTTCATACTGTCCAAGTTTTCTATTTGACAGTTGTGTATGAGTACCTCATATGTGAATGACTGGCTTTTAATAGGTATGAAACTGGAGAATTATGAAGGCATAGAAGACTTTCTGCCAATAGTAAAGGTATCTATGTCATCACAGTAACTGGGAAAGTTCAAGTATGGACAGCTTGCCTAGGCTTTGATGGCAACTTAAAAAAAGTGGAAAAACATAAGAGTCTAGCCCACACAACTTCCTACAACTCAGTATAAACCAACCAGTTTTTCTAATATGTTCCTATTTCCTCTTAATAATAAAATTTTTACCAAAACTGAGGCTGCAGTCAACTTCTCCCAGCTATCCACACTTATTTTCTGCAGAGAAGACAGTAATAAAGTTTCTGGTTTTGTTTGTTTTTTTAATTAAGAAGCTCTTCAGGTCAGCATGAATGGATACCTCTGCACCACAAGACACAGAGTCCTTCCCACTGACCCAAAACCTAGAGTGAACTCTTGTCATAAAGCAGTCACAGAATGTCAGCTCCCTTCTGTAATTTCCATCCAAATCAACAGAACAGCAACTGCTTGAGCAACAGCACCAGTTCACAGTGACATAGTAAAAGGCCTTCCTTTACCACAGATAAATGAGCTCTGTCTGACATTTCTGCTGATGAAATGCAGGGCTATATATCTTCTGTGAAATGTCTATTGTTTTGCAGTTTATAGCAGGAAGTGAATCAGGAGACAGGTACATTTTAGGCAAAAGTTCTATTGTAAAGCCAACAGTAATGAAGTAGCTTTACGAATAATACTGTTTTCTTTTATACTAATTAAGTTCCTCAAGCCATGTACAGAAGCTATTCTCTTGGAATCTTATTAATTCCTTCCATGTCAAAGAATTAATAGGGAGAAAGGTTAGAGCCCAGGAAACAAGCCCCACTATTCAACTCTAACAATAAACTCTTTCTACAGTGATGCCATTACAACAATTCCTGTAGCTGTTTAGAGCCTGTCCATTTAACTTTTCATGCAATACTATCCTTACGCCAGGGAGCACTGGAACATATAAAGAACAGTATTTTAGAATTAAGACACACACTTATATCAGCTCTGCCTAGCAAGTTATTATACTAGCCAAAGTCAGAACTTTTGAGAACTGTTATTTCTGATTTATTTTGCTCCCCTGAAAGCCAACAGTTTTTTTGTGAAATATATCTGAAGAATGACTGGCCCAAGGCCACAGTTAGTTACTTAGTTCTAAGAGCTTGTCTGCTCACAGTCACTCAGATTTAAGCCCTCTCAGTCAGTTGAAACAGGTTTTTTGGAGAATCAGACTCCAGCAAAAAGAGCTACCTTACCTCTGAATGAGAGCATCCACAAGAGGTTTGTCATCTTTTATTATACATGTCAGCTTTACTCCTGTAGTCAATTCCCCTTAACTCCTGCAGCAGACACCTGCCTCAAGTGAGGAACACATCTTCCTCATCACCTCAGTTCCAGCTCTTAGCAGAACATGCCCCAGGCTCTCACCAGCCTGGGCACCACTTGATTCCATTAGTTCTGTCCTATTTCAGCAAGATATTTAGTTAAAGATGCAGAAGAGAAAAGATGAAGATTTTATCTCTGAGTAAGCAAATTTCCTTTCCAGTTTCTCTTCCTCCTAACTTGATTTTCAACTTTACCTTTCAAGACCAGGCACAAACCAGCATCTCACAGCATAACATCCACATATCACCCTCTTCCTCCTCCCACAGAACTATTAGCTATGACTACTTTTGTTTCCTTGGCAACCTACAAGTCTGCAGAAAAGCTGTTTTATGCACACTCATCCCAGCCAACACATTCTTTCCTTACTCATATTCCTTCAGAGAATTTTTCAATGAGTCTTAAAAACAGACATTATGTAGCAGCAGAGCTTCCTAATTTTGAGTTTGTCAAGAACATTTCACTTGCATACACAAGGTCTCAAGTTCCGCATAGAAAAGGAAGAATTGCTGCTCACAGTTTTTTTTCCTGGGGTTTGTGTTGTGGCTTTAAGCCCAGCTGGAGATGAAACACCATGCAGCCACTCACTTAGCTCCCTCTCTTCCCCTTCCCACACTGGTGGAGTGGGGAGGAGAACTGAATTAGAACTTGTGCATTGAGATAAGAATTGTTTAATAATTGGAAGTAAAATAAAATGCAATAATAATGGCTAGTAGTAGTAGTGGTAGTAATAATAATGATAACAGGGAAAAAAAGCACAAGTGATGCACAATACAACTGCTCACCACCTGCACACCCCCTCTTCCCAAACCCAAATCAGCCCTGTTGAGCAACTCCCCCAGTTTAGAGACTGGCCATGACATTTCATGGTGTGGAACATCCTGGCCAGTTCCAGTCACCTGTCCAAGCTGTGCTCCTTCTGTGTACCTCCTCGCTGGCAGAACATGAGACAACACAAAAAAAATAGTCCTGGACTTAGGATAAACACAACTTAGTAAAAACCCAAAACATCAGTGAGTTATCAACACCATTCTTATTCCAAACCCAAAACAGCACTGCAACGGCTACTGAGAATAAATTAACTCTATCCCAGTTGAAACCAGGACAGTTTAGTACTGATAATCAGAAAACCAATCTTAGTATACTGAAATTCCATGTTACTTCAGTTTTGTTCCTTAAAATTCCCTTTACATACATAGGTTTTTATATGTTGGGAGTGAAAATATAATTAGGCTTCAAACTTCAATCTCTGCAAAAAGCCTGTCAAGAAAAGGAATGAGGAGAAAGCAGTCTGATATATATAATCACTAGACTATTGTTTTTAAAAAGAAAATGCAATGTGATCAGGAAGAGAGAGTCACTGCATTTGCAGTGTCTTTGAATTCTTGCTCTTTAAAGGGAACATTGCATGACTAAATCAATGTTTGGGTCAGCAAGATAAATTACTAGTAATACATTGGTTGGAGATAAAACTAATATGTGGTATCAACATTTGAAATCTTAATTCTAGTTCTGAGATTGTTTACTACATAGTCAAAAATTCCTAGCAGGTTTTTATTTTCTGGTTTTTCGCCCTAGTTAGTAATGTTTCAATGCTTTTATTTTGAAGTAGTACTGATAATTTACTAGATATTTCACAAAGATGTTTCATCCTCAAGGATTTGAAATATGCTCTCCCAATACTCCACTGGGACAGAGAGAAGGATTTGAATGTTTAAAACTGATAGGTCTGCTGCAAAAACATTTTCCATATAAATTGCTTCTTTACAAATACTTTATTTTACTGAGTGTCTCTGCTATACACTGGGACAGAAATCTTTGAAAGCAACTGCAAGATTTCCAGTAATGACTTTTGAAATACTGAATACTGAGGATGCAAGTTTAAATGAGCTGACCCTTTCCAAGCCAGCAGAAACCCCCTCAACAATTAAATAAGAATATTCAGTATTAGTAATATCACAGATAGTGCCATTAGTATTTTGTGTTGTTAATGTCTATGCTCTGGAGGCCCTGATTCAATTCACTGCCTACCTGCAATAACACCACTGGGGTGAGACAATGTAACCCTTTGTCGTCCCTGAGGCACAGTGCCACACCTATGTTATGTTATGTTACCTGTCAACCAAAAATAAAATCATACTACAAAATACTATATACTACAGGTCCACAGTCCCTAGGGCTGTTCTTACTTCCCACTTTATCCCTAACAGGTAGTTAGGGGTAAAACTAGAAACATCTGCCCACTAAATACCACATAATTAAAACAATACTACTGATGATTAACACATCTAACTACACCTTTACTTGTAGTAGCTTGCCTGTCAAGGCTCAAATATACAAGCAAGACTCAGAATTAGGAACTGTGAAAAACCAAATCAACCCTCCACCACCACCACCAATAAACCCCACACCAAAAAACCCAAACAGAAAATCCCAACCCCAAAATATGAGACCTGGAATTTAGGTGAGTTTTACCATTCTGCAGTGATCATCTTGCCTTTGCCTTACTTATTTCAAGAGTCAACTAGAGTATGCTTTTGTACTGGCCAGTGTGAAGATTCAAGTCTGATGAAGAGAGAATCAGTTAGATTTTATTTTAGTGGAATATACAAGATCAATGGAGATTATGCTCTGAGTGATTCAGCCTACACATTTCATTCTTACTGCAAGCTTAAACCCCAGATTCTGTGTAAGGGTATTGGTCAACCCAGCCCACATCTTCCCTCCTTCCCCAACACAAGCTGCTTTTGCCAGACTATGTTCAACTGTCCCAGAGACCACTGTTTGGTGCCCTTTTCTAGGAAGACCTTCTAAAGCAGGTGAAGTGGTGCAGTTGCAGGTGGTCTTCCAATATCTGATGGAAAGTCAAGTGGAACAAACACACCAAATCACAGACCCCACTAATTTATTTATACACTTTGCTGTTAGAAGACTGAATACCCATTTTTATCTTTTGCTCCTTAGTTTTGCATCTCAGTTTTGGTAGCTAATCATCACAAATTTTCTTATCATAGCTACCAACTTGCCATATGCAACAGTATTTTTGTTAAATAAAATATACAAAAATATGCAGGTATTTGACGTATGTACATGCATAAATACACTGAGACATTCTGGTGCAAATCAAGATTTATCATCAGCTTCAAGCAGTGAGATTTATCACAGTATCTGGTTGTTCTGTCTGTTTTCTGCAGACACGCACTATCTAAAAATAAAAATAAATGGCTAATGAAGCAGTCCATCAATATACCATTGAAATACTCCCTCAGTCCATAAAACTTCCTACCTTTAAAGAGTTAGCACCTCAGAACACTTAAAGGAAATAAAAACTCCCAACCCTCTGCATACAAAGACTTGCTTTTCAATTTATTAATACTAGTTATAAATCAATAGCTGCATTTACTGGCAATAACCTCAAGTACATGTACTGCTATTTTTTTCTAGTTGCTCTTCTTTTACTACAAGAACCTGAACCATCACTGTGAAAATATTAATACTTACCACCATCACCCTTTTATAGAATCCACAGCTCATTTATTACAGGCAGGAAGGGATAGGCTACTAGAGGAAATAAATACTATCCAGAACAGCAAGGAATTTCTTTCAGAATGCACATTTTGAGTTGCCAGCTTTATAATGAAAGTTCTTGATCATTATTGAGAATTAGTTTATACAAATTGTATAAACATAATTGTATAGATATACACACTCTATATGAATTGTAATAATTATCAGGTCAGTGTATGTCTAATACAGTTTCTGGGTTTTGAGTATTTGCTTCACTTTTCAAAGGCTGTTTTGTCTTTTTCTACATGCAATGTAGCAAAACACAGGAATCTATTCCAAAACTTCAAGTTATTCTTGATGTCTTCCTACCAAGAGTGCAGCTGTTTTTTCTGTCATCACTTCCATGTGGTCAGGACAGGCTTTCCTGAATCTCTTGCACGGCTTCCTTTGACCCCTGTGGACTGTCCAGGACGACCCCGTGGGTCACGATCAGTCCCATCGCTCTGTGCCATCTCTTCATCATATCTGGAGGTAAGGAAATCCCTTCAGTGCCTTGCCCTGCTACACAAACAGCAGTGGGTCCTGTATATTCTACTTCTACATTCTATTCTGTTTACTATTTAGAACTGGAGTTTGATACCAACTGTTCACACAGCTTCATGCAGGCATAGCAAGACATGCAACTGTGATTCTATGAATCTATAATTTTACAATACAGATCATCTTAAATATCCTTAGCCTCTGTTTGAAAGAAACAAGTCATCTGGCAGCTTTAGCCAAATTCCTGAGTTTTTAAATTTCATGACTGTGAAATTCCTCATGTACTTCTGCAGGTCTGTGGTAAAGCAGAACATCATCCAGTTGCCAGTTTAAATAACTCCTGAGTTATTGCTTCTAAGGAAGGATTGTTAGCTGCAGCATTAAAACTCCAGTGTTGCATCACAGAGAGAGAAGGGAAAGAATGAGGTGAACTAAACAGCCATGTGATCAAACGAAATGCATTTGATGTATTTGGCGACACAACCACAGTGATGAGTGATTCTATAAATATCTAAATCCATTATAGCCTCAGATAACCTTAGAATAAACTGACATTTCAGCTGCTATGCGAATTCCAAGCAGAATTTGGTTATAGATAAGTAATTAAGAAAAGATAATACTAAAAAATGTTTAGGAAAATCATAATATATACTAACACTGTTTTATAGGTATTCATAGCTACCATGTATATAACATTCATTAAATCTTAATTCCTAATTCAGACCATTTATATTTAACTGCTTTTACTACTATAGAGAAAAAATATTTGAGTATGAACATAGTGGATCAGCTATGTACATAAATGCATTCCTGACATACTGAGCAATTGCACCACTAGTTCTAGAGAACCTATCCAAACATTTTCTCAAAAAAGATGAGAAACTGTGTCAGCAGTATGGTATTGAAATATCAGTGTTCTTCTGCATAAAACAAATCAATCCTATATAAATTTTGCAGACACTCCTATATAAAAAACTCATTTCCTTTATTTCTCTCTATATAATACAGATCAAGGAATTAAAAAAATATCTGACCATTTCATTATTTATTATTACATTAAGAATTACACGACTCAAGAGGTATCACTTCTATGAACTGAGAGAAAATTTGCATGGAGTAACTTTTAAACCAGAACCAACTATTTTAACTGTTTAAGTACCATGTATATATTAGGCTCCATTCAATTAAAGTTCTGCACATGTAGAAGACATTCTCTTTGCTTCTGTCCCTCAGTTCTAGCTGCTGGAAGCTCAGAAGCTGCACCCAGGGGCTTATAAGACAACATTCTCTCTGGACATGAGGCAAGGGAACTCTGCTTTAATGTGCTCCCACCTCCAGTGCAGCTCCAAAGAATTGAAGTGGAAGTTTGTGCCCATTTTTCATATGAGAATGAAGTTCACCGTATCTTTTTGGTCTACATTACACATCAAAAAAAAGTGCGGTGACAGAAGAACAATGGCCTTTAGATGAAACACTGACAAAACTTACAAGACTTCATAATTGCCTAGAACCTCTTTTGGTGGAGATTTATTCCATTTGCAGTCAGGAATTTCCCCATTAGGCACAGCAATGTTAAGCGTATCATTAATAAGATTATACTTCAAGATGCGATCATTAGCAGTGCTGGAAGTAAGAGATGGCGAAGCATTAACCTACAAAAGGAAAAAAAAAAATCCCATCAGTTTTTAGAGTGTTCTCCAAACAGCATGTGTGATGTCTGTGTGTACTGTAAGGGAAATTGAGCCTTGGTGGCCCAAAGCACATCTTTCAGTTCCTCAGGCACTGGAAGGAATTCCCCACTTTTTACTTAGACAGGAAAGTACCACCCTGTTAAGTGTCTGCCGTGTCAGCCTGAAGATTTCTGTTAAAATGAGATTCACCAGGGTGAATCAGACAAGACAGAATTTTTGTTTAATTTTCTGTTTACCTGATTACAAACCCCATACATTAGAGTGCTTAAAATTTTCCCACTTCACATGAACAGCTGTTACACACAAAAGTCTGTGGCTCTCTTCTGGGTAAACAACTTTAAGTTATTATCTGAGTTCTCCTGTTATATTGTGAGCTGGAGGGGGCTCTCTATTCTATCTCATTTAAATTAAACCATTTAACATATCTTTATTCCACACTTATTTTGGAGAAGTAGTATCAGAACAATAAACAAGTAACTTATTTTTTTATGAAATTTAGATTTAGATTGAGAAGGAAGAAGGATGGATAAAATTTATATTGAACATACAGATCTAAAGTTAATACACCAAAGAGAAATTAATGTAAAAAATAAAAAAGCTTTCCAAATATCCTAGATTGCCTTTGTATGCCCCTTTTGTTTCCTCTCAACCTCTAACATTAATGCCGTGACAGCATTTAAAAATTAAATTTGATGTTAGGCTCCATCAAGTCAATGCCCACTTTCCAGGTACTGATCCAGTATTAAACAGGGCTGCTAACATTCAGACTGCCTCTGAAGTGCAGTTGTATGGATGCCCTGTATTTAGAAACCAAAGCAGAAAGCCACAAACAAATAGAAACAAAATAAAAATAGGAAAGAAAAGCACATGCTAGCTTGGTCATCACATGACTTATCTCACTTTCCAATGTTTTTCTTAATTCACTTACCTGATAAACAAAAAATATTATTTAAAAAGAGGAACACTGAAGAGACTACATTGAAATCTACTTAGTTTTGTTTGTGAAATTAGAAGGAAGTTTTTTCCTGTATTTTATAAAAACTTACCTCAATTAGCCAGGGCTTAAGCTTGTCATCAATGATAATGTCATATCCATAACACTCAAAGCAGTGTTTATCATTATTCATCACAGGCTGGGGAAAAAGAAAAGACAGTAATATGTATTAAAATCTACTCTTCAGTAAGTAACTCAATTACACACTTTCTTTGCTACAAAACACATGTGATAACATCAATCTTTTACAACACTTTTCAGTGCCGTAAGTCAAATATAAGCTTGCTAACTAGTAGGTTGTAGCACTGCATCTTATTTTGAGGCTGTGTGCAAATAATTAAGTACTAATGATTACATTGATGCCAAGTATTAAGTTAATTTCCCATTATGATTCCAGAGTGAAAATAAGTCTTTTTATGCTTTGCTGAAGTAATAAGTATACTTAAAGCCTGTGTGCATCAGGAGAAAACAGAAAGTTTGAAAATTTACAGCTTCATATAATTGTGAATTCTTTAAACTTTAGAAAAGCAATTCAAAGATCTTTCTTTTATTTTGCTGCTGTAACTATGCAGAAATTTTAGGTCAAACAATTACAAAATACATTTTAGAATTATAATTACTCAAGGAAACTACAACCCCAAAGCCAAGAGAGACCAAGAATCAAGTTGCTTAGATGCACATCCTCTAGAGAACCAAGAGCTTTCCAGCAACTGTTAAATATTTGCAGTATGCATGGTATAATACTTCTATGTGAATCTCATCAGATCTTTTAGAGAAAACTTTATGAAGGTTTCTGAGATGTTTTCCCCATGACTACTAATGAAGCTTTTCATTTCTTCATGGACTGCAAGGGGGAAGGAGGAACAAGAATCTAATGACATGTGCCATTGTAAGAAGGACAGAGGAATGGCAGATTTCATCCTCCATCATTTTCATCACTTTTCCTCTTCTAAGGTTCTGCTAACATTTGAATATATCCCTTTTCTTCTCCCAGGTACCTTCAGATATGATTGCACAGCAGAAGCCAGGTTAAGCCATGCTTCCCCAGCTCCCACTGAGCCTAGCTGCACGACCTTGTCCCTGTTTTTCGAGCTGATTCTGGTCTTCATCTGCTCCTTCCATGACTCAGCTCTTTCCCCTGGCAGAACACCAAGCCATCAATAAAGCAAGGTAGTAATTGTCAGTGCTCAAGTGAGCTGATTCAGCTCTAAACAGTGCCAGCACAAGCCCAAAAGAGATGACAAGACAATGTACTTAGGACCAGGAGAGTCCTTGTCTACAGTGAGCTCCTCAGTTACGCCAGCTGACTCCCAAAGTGACACCTGCCCTGTAATGTGATCATAGAATACTACCCAAACACTAGAAAGTCACTCAAGCAGAGAACTGGCTACTGCTTTTTTTCATGATAACTCTGTTACTTGTGTATAGAAGTGGTGAAAGTACATTATGTAACTCTGATGAACTAATAGCCTTAGGTTTCCTTTGATAAATTGTCCTCCAGAGATCTTTTTTTCTTTGACACATTTGTTATTGCTGGAATGACATCACACATTTTGGCAGAAGCTAATACTATTCACAAAGGCAGTATCAAGTCATATTAAATCATTTACAAATCCCTCAAAGAAAAAGATTCACTCCTTCAAATATCCACAGACAACTCAACCTCCTCACTCACCACCCAAGATTCAGTTCCCTCAAAAGATATCAAGAAATCAAAAGATAAGAGAGCTGTAGAAATCAGCATCAACACCATCATTCAAAGAGCAGAAAATAGATGAAGGGGTTTGAATGGCAAGCTCACTTCCATGGTTATGGGAAGCCTGCATCTGGAATGCTATCGCTGGCAGCACTCCAGGAACAGCACTCACCGCAACAGCCTTCAGGGACTGCACAATTATCCAGTGGATTTCATCAAACAATTTGTTGGTGACTTCCTTTCCACGGGTGCTCTCCAGATACAGGCGTAAGTTACTCACTGTCCACTTGCCTCCATGGATATGGTTGTAATCATCCTGAAGAGTTAAGGAGTTCACTCAGTATAAGATTTTGAAGTTGTTCAGTGTTGGGGAAGATGAAATAATGATACCTTATGAATATGATTGTTTAGCAAACAATTCTGAAAATATGAAACCTAGGATTGAAATAGAATTGAAAACTGGCTTTGAGCTATAGGATATTGAGTGCTAGTTACTATATAATCGAAGAACAATAGCCTAGCCAGCTGAAAGAGAATCCCTGTTGATGAAAACAATAGCCTCCTGCTGATAGTGAATCCAAAGGTGAAGCAGAAAGAGAAAAAATTTAAAAGTAGCTTTTAGAGTTTAAAATGTAACATTGTATAGCAATGTAGTAGTTCTTATAGGCTATATGTAAATTCTATAGAATGTGTGTCGTATATTGGTTGGTCACTAGGAATTAGAATATTCACTACAGAAAAAGATATAATGTATTGTAACAAGAACTTCACTCTCTTAACTTCTCTTAACTTCTTACCTTCTCTTACTTCTCTTATTTCCACCTCTTAACCGCTCCTACTCTCTTATTTGCTTGTCTCTTACTCTCTTAAGCTCTTCTCTTGATTTACTCTCTTAACTTCTCTGCTCTTACCTGCTCCTCTCTCAACTTCCTCTGCTCTTAACTCGCTCACTTCCCCTCTCTTAACTTCCTCTCTCACTCCCCTCTCTTACCCCATCTTGCCCCTCTCTCTCTACCCTCTTAATTACCTTCACCCTTCATGCTCCCCGACTCCTCTCTCCACTCTCTCTCTCCCTCTCTGACCATGTTTATGCTGTGGCTGGCAGCATAAATGGATTTCTTCCACCCTCTGCCTAAATAATAAACTGCTTATACCTGAACAGCCTGACCCTGGAGAAGTCTCTCACCGTGAGCCTGTGCTTTCTACACATATGGTTCAGCAGGTTTCTTTCATCCCCAAAGTCCCCTTATACTTACAAGCACTGGTCTAAAAACAAACCTGGCTAATTGCTCTTCCAGCTTTATAAAGCCCTCGGCATAAACAACTGCTTTTATTATAGCTCTAATATGCTTGTATCATACATTGCAAATTAAGTAATAAATCTTTCATAGGCGAGAAAAAAACAACAGATACTTTGACAGTTTTATAGTAAAGAATGAGTTATGATTTGGAAATAGAAGTTTTAAAATGTGAAAGGAAAGAATTGAATGTTTTGCTCCTCTGGGGATAAAGAAAAAGCAATTAATGAGCAACCGCAGAATTTCACTGAAGGTAGCTGTTGAAAAATGTTGAAAGTGTTTGTCTGTGTTTATTTATTTAACAAATACAAGTTGTCTGTTCCCTGGTATCTTCTTAATGGTGCTACTGATAAGCTACATTCAAGAACATAGTGAAATTATACCTGAATTGTTTTTAAAAGTTTAAATTTTCAAGTAGTTCAGTAGAAAACTTCACTAAGTGTTACTGAAATTAAACAAGGGGAAACAGTAGGTTACCTTATATTGTCTTTTCAGAGGCTATCAAGGCTCTGCATTATTTCTCTTTAAATAGAAAGATAAGAGCAAAGAGAGGGTTGTTCATACTGATGGAAAGGCATACATTCAGCCCTCAAGGAACTCTCAGGACAAATGCTTTGTCCCTTTAGAAAGTGTTCTCCTCAGAGCATTTCTGAGAATTAATGATTATAAATTACAAAACACCGAATGCACAGAGCAGAAAAAGGTTCTCAGAAGAACAAATTCTGTCGTCCTCTAGGACAAGGTCAGAGAAGCATCTATCTTATTATTAGGCTTTTTCCTACAGCATTAGTAAATTTGGAAAAACTGCACAGTACAAATAAAGACCTGAAACATGGTTCTCAGGATTTGCTCCATGGAAACAATGTCTTGAGACCAGATTCCAGCAAGTGAACAGAGATCAGTTTCAGCCCTCTTTGCCCTTCAGAACAACAGATTGCAACAACATAGAGCTTTACACAATCACAATTGTTTAATTAAAGACATTAAAAAAAAGTAAAAAGAATTATGTATAAGAATTATTGTTTTGTTTGTATTACACATGCATTTTCCAGCACTTCATCATAATTTGTACAGATTACTGACAGCTCAAATTAGGTACAGTTTTAGAAAACTAAAACTGTACAGTCTAAATGCCTCCAAAGTTACAGGCACATTTAAAACAAATAGGATGGGCAACATAGCTTTACATTAAACTTTTCTTCTGCCTTTCTGCAAAATTGAACAGGTATCAGTGGTTTACAATTTACAAAAAGTTTTTCAAACATTCCAGTAATAATCCTGCATTCTTAGGCTGCTACTTCTATATTCATTTCTGTGGTCCTTTATTCTAAGTGACCTCACCACCACAGTCACTTCTCTTATTTGGGAAAAATCTTGAAGGCCATTCTTTAACTGGTAGAGAAGATGGAAGGGTGAATAAAAACAAGGCAGGCAATGTACCATGTGCTTCACATTTTCACTACTCAACAGCACCAGGATTTTTTCTCTAAGTTATATAGGACCTGCTTTCACAGTAAGTAATTCTCAGTGTGCCCTGTCAAACCAAAATGTTTGAAGCACTTTACAAATCTGAACCTGAGCAATAAAATGTTTGTAGTACTGAAAAATGGCATATTTGACCACTTTCCCTGGTTAAGAAGTACCAACATTATCATTCACATTCGTTGTTACAGCAATATCCAGACAAAAACAGTTCTGCTATACTGCACATCTTATGCAACAGTAGCAGAGAAGGCACATTAAAAGCAAGGTTTCAGTTTAAGATATATTGCATATATCTTGTGTATGACTGCGTGTGTTTACCTACATTAATATAATCAGAGCGTGCGTGTGTGTCCATACGTATTTTCCTAACCATTAAAATAAAGCTTCTGGCATTAGGAAGTGCAGCAATAGAGTTTTAATGACTGTACTGGAGGCATGGTTTGTGAATCACAGACATCCGCTAAAAACACCAAGGGGACAATCATTATCAAGTCAAGGGGACAATCATTATCAAGTCATTCCCTGAAGGAACAAGGCTTAGGAAGTGACACTTTATGCCCATCTGTATCACCCCTGCCCCACTAACCTTCCCTCCCCACTGCTGAATTTCAGTGTATTTTGACGTAAGTCAAAGCTCTCATGTTTCCACATGAATATCAATGGCAAATTACAGGACAGAAGTGTTCTGCAGGCAGAGCTCCAGCTTTGTCCATGCAAGAGGAAGCCACCAGATGGCCAGGCAGCACTTATTTATCTCAAGTTTGCAACTGCACATTCCTTTTGTTTCCCACAGAAGGAAGGCAGGGGCAGGGGGTTGGGGGAACACTGGAAGAAGCTGGAAAGTTCTGTGATGAATAAGTGCTGGAAATAAAAAATTGAATTAACTGCATGCCAGAGAGAAAGGGAAGGGGAAATGAGGAAGGAGATATTAAGCCACTATTATAAAGTACACATCCACATGATTCAAGCTCATTAATTTCACTGTTCAATTCATACGCAAGCAAATTGGCTTTTCAATGAAAGGAGACCTCTGCTCTCAACTACTGTGAGTCAATACTGAAAATGTCACACTCTATTAGACCTTCAACTCATTATCTTGACTTTTGATTTGTGGTTTTCTAAAATTTCTATATTGTATTTGATTTGTGAGTGCAAGGTAAAGTATTTTAATTGCAAGATGATGAAGAACATGACAAAACCTTTTGATTCAAAGTTTTTGGGACAATTTAAGAAAATCAGTCCTGCTGCAAAGGAATATCTAAGCAATCAGCACACTTACCCCATGTTTCTGAATGGCAACATTTGTAAGATGTACAAACATGTTATCCAGTTCACTTGTACTTGGTGTGTATTTCACTGTGCAAAACCGGCAAAATCCAAGCTTATACCTTAAATGTAAAAAGTTATTAAATTGTGTTAAATCCCTGTAAGAAACAAGGAAGTGAGCATCCTAGGATATCCTGTGCAGGTTATGTGTCTTTGTCCAACATTATTTTGACTACACTGGACATTATGTCTAAACAAAACACAAAGACATGTAACCTTACATGTAACATCTCAGTGGACGATAGGTAGAGACCAAAACATAGAGACGAAGATCAAATTTCTTTCCACCAATTAGTAAGGGATTGTTGATGTAGAGTGAAATCACATAGGCTTCTTTGGAAGACTGAGACACAAACCTGAAAAATGCAAACCATGCCTCACAATATGATATTTGCAACAATACAACCCCTGAAGTCTTTCACTTCTTTAGAAGTGTTCTGTAAATTCTGAGTCAACTAAAATCTTGTTTATTTCGCTAAGACAATGTATAACGTTGGGGTGGTTAATAATATTTGTTATCAGGCCTTATATACAAAAAAAATTATACTTATATACCATAAAAAAGCTGAAAATACTGTACAGATGACCAAGATCAATTACCCATTTAAACTCACACAGCAGCTGATCAAGCTATTCAGAATGTAGCCAACAAGCCAGCCTTTTTCCCTTGAAGAGAATTTAGAGCTTGGCAAGGTCCAGACAAGCAAAAAGAATGTAGTGCAGTACCTTCATTATTCAGGGTCTTGTACTACTGGAATATTTGCATATCTGCTTGGTGTGCAATTGCAAACCACTGTGAAAAGTTAATATAACTTTCAGATTGTGACATTCTTCAGATTCCAAATTCAAATGAGGGGAAAAATACTCAAATGATATTCAGACAGTCACTTGATCAGAGGAAAAAACTTTAGTTTTGTGATCAAAACTCCTAGTCAGAGAAAAACATAAAACTGCTAACCTATTTCATCTATTTGTAAGGAGATCATCAAGACGTATATTATTTTGTGTTCCAAAAGGAAAATACATTTATTACATAGAAATGCAGTCTTCCTTTGTACTAGTTTAAAAAGTGATTTAATATATATTAAGCAATTATTGAAATTGCTGAAGGGAAGATTTTTTCTCTTGCTTCCTGTTATTTAATACTGTGAAGCAGAACAATTTCCTTCTGAGCAAGTTTTTCCCCAACAACACCGAAGGCAATTTTATTAAGAATATTAACTGAACAGTTCTGCCTACCTCCTCATACTAAAACAAGTTGTGTTATAACCTGTTGAAGGAGGAAGCCAGGTAACAACTGAAATTAAAGGCAAACCTAACTATAAAATGACAAAGCAATAATAATAATGGAATATTTTTCCCATGCATCAGACCATCAGCATGTTGATATAGTTTGCCCAATTACAGAAAGTACGGTAAAAGGTTAGGTTTTAAGAACTTACGAAGATGTTTTGCTGTCTCGAGACCATTTTTTAATTTGGGAGAGTTTATTGATTAGAAATATTCCTTTTCCTTGAGCTTTGCCACAAGGTTTCATAATCCATGTGCTGGAAGGATTCTTTCTGAATTCTTCAACAAAGAGATTATAATCAGCAGGAAGCATAAAAGTCACAGGAACAAAATCTGAATTAAGAGGGGAAAAAACAGTGCACAATTAAAGAGACTCTATCCGAAACGGCTCTTGACACAAAGACTGAAAAGTTCTGTATTTTCAGTTTTCCAGTCTGGCATGATCCATCTTCATTAAGACCCACGTTGCTTTTTATCTTATTTACATCCTAGTTTTTACTAAAATAATTGAAAAATGTTGCACAATGCTAACTTCATAGATTCTAATTCATGTTTATTATCATTATATATATCATTACAATTATCATGTTATTTATTAATTCAATTAGATTTTCTTCTTCCATTGATATGCTGTACAATTAGAGTATTAGCTACCATTCCAACTAAACAATTAAAATGTCTCAATTTGCTGTATCAACTTTGACCATTCTTTATCATTCTCTGTGCAGGCAAAAATCCCCTTAGGCAGTGTAATTTTTATTACCATGTGACTCCCATTATTCTTATTTATTATATCTTATTCTGAACTCCTATTATTCTTCTTTGCTCCCACACTCAGTTTTACCATGATTACTGAAACCTAAAAAAAAAACATTTTTCACTTGTTACTATTAAATTATCTTTGCTTCCATCCTTAAAGAACTGCCTTCTTACACAGATGAAGTGTTTTCATTTCACTTATCCAAGATGTAATTCAACTCCACATATCCCACTCTGTTTTACTTCAATACTTTCTGATCATCAAACCAACTCTGCTTTCCTCATTCCTGATCTATTCTTCGTTTAATTTTGGGGTTTGGGTTTCTTGGGTATTTTCATTTTGTCTAGTTTGCTTTTTATTTTATTTTCTAGCAGTCATTATTAGTTCCTCAATTTCTTCCAAATTTCCCCTCTGAAGTGTTTGTTTATTCAGTTCTGCCTAGAGCCTTTCTGCAAGAAGTTTCAGGTTTTGCTCCAGTGTAGTATTTTCACATAATGTTTTTTCACTTTTGAACTAAACTGCAACCCTCTTTCATATGAAGTAGCAGAGCCTTTTGGTTTCACTACCAACCTAATTGCAAAGTATCTTAAACCCACCGTTTTCCCTCTCCAAAATAATTTTTGGGAAACTCCAAATGAAGCAAACCCAAAAGATTAACAGAGCACTTCAAGGTAGCCACTTTAATGTCATAACACTCCAGAGGTTCAGTGCTTCATACACAAAAAAGCTGATTTGATTCCAGTTATTGACTCCGTAAGACAGAAGCTGAAAGTTGATAATAAGAAAATCATACCCAAATAAATATATTTTCCATTTTCATCCTTTTCTGCAAGAGGACTTCCTTCTTTCTCAAGTTCTTTTCTGTATCTCTTGATGTTCTTTACCATCAAATCTTTTCTGGTCAGTTCATAGTGGTTTGGGAAATGATTGACAATTTGGTCATCAGAGAGGCGGTATCCAGTTTCCACACTGAACACATTTCTGATTGTTTGGACACTCATCCTGAAACCAAAGCCATACCAAATTATTTCTCTCAAGAAACACAGTTCAGGAAGAAAAATTAGAGATATTTTCACTCCAATTTCCTCCTCTTTTCTCTCTCTCATTTCTCTTTATATATAATATTTTGCTGCAGTGATAATCCAACATGTCCTGAAGTTCTATTAACAAACCAAATGAAATCCTACTGAAGGTGTAATCAGTCCCTCTATCACTACTGAAATGGGTGCAGGAAGTGAGGACAGAAAGATGAAATGGATCCTACTGGACTCTGGCTTGTTGATGGTCAGATCAATCCCCAGCAGGGCCTAAAAATGACTGATGTGCACCCAAATGCTACAGAATCCTCATTGTAAAACTGTTAATTCACATTCTTGAAACTCACCTTTCCTCTTCAAAAAAGCCACAAATCCAAACTACTACTGACTGCCTTGCTACTTGGATTACAAAGGAATTCAAACATATGACTTGAAAACTGGCTAAGAGAGCTTGATAAAAACACCTGTGATGTTTAGTTATATACCAGATGAAAGTGTTGCAGTGACAGAGTAATCAAATCAGTTATCAACTACATTTTTCACAGAAGATAAGAGCAGGGGCACAGATGTAAAGAATTTCCCATATTAGATGTCTCAATGTGAAAATTTAAGAATATTTCCTGAATGCTACCAATCTGCTATATTATCATTTTAGGAAGAAATGAAGAAAACTAACCCAAAACAATACAACCACTCACCCAGCAATTTCCGTGAGTGTTTCCCCACACTCCCAACTGCATCCCAAAAGCATGAGCAATTTATTAGATTCCTGTCCACTTAAATAAGTGGTTCACAAAGGGTACATTTGGCAACACAAACTGCCGTTCTGATGTATTTCAAAGAAACCTCATAAATTGTTTGGTTTATTTAAAGAGTACTGTTTCTGCCAGTTAATAGAATACTACATTCGAGGACAGCAATTCATGGTCTTAATTATTAGACAAACACCAAATGGGAAGTTTATTTACTCTCCTCCTTTTACCACAATCTTATCTAATTTCACATTCACTCTCAGTATTGAAATGTTGAATAATTAGCCCGAATATAAATCATTATCACTAAGAGAAGGAAAGTACAGTTTATTACAGAAGTCTGGACTCTTGTAACAGGGTAAGCCTCCATAACATTGATGAAAGAAATTGGTAATTGTAGCATACTTACCAATAAAAATTCCAGTCTTCATTTTCTGCCACCTGAATCCATCCTCTTTTTTCAAAGTTGTTTATTAGAACAGATTTTTCTATGTCAGTTACCCACTTTACTTTTCCTGCCATTATCCTAAAGCGGAATCAACCTGTTCGTACAGAAAAGTTTAAAGTTGAAAATAGGGGAGGATACAGGGAAGTAAAAGCAGAAGATAAGTGGCACCTAGACAACACTTTCACATATGTTTATTAGTTTAAAACCCAAGGAAAATAACATCTAGGCTCTGACTGATGCATTTCTCAGCTGGACAACTGCACACAAGGATATCGGTTACAGGGACTATTCACACCCACCACCTTTTATAAATAGGCACACAACATCTGTCTTCCCTTAAATACTACTGACAGAACCCCCTATTCTACACTGGCAATGTTTAAAGAACCAAGAGTGGAGCACAGACATTGTTTCTGACTTATGAACATGTATTTTTGCTTTGTTTTGAAGCAGGAAAGTTCATCTGGATCACACGGTGTCTGTAGACTAAAACCCCATGATTCCAAGAGAAATCCCTTACACTCTCTATGAATAATCAAGATTTGCAGTACCTCAGGTGAGGGAACTAAAGTTACTGACTTTAGTAAGTAGAAGTAAGTTCAACTGATATCATTAAAACCTCACAGGAGGATTTCCTCAAACACTGGGTTGTTAGAAGAGTGATTACAAACTGCACTTCAGCTCCTGACACCAGATGTCACTTTCTGCATTAGATCTCTCACTTGCCCCGGTCAGCTTTTTGTTAGAATCACTTGACCATTCTGGCAGGAAGGGACCTCAGCAAGTCCCCTGGTCCAGCCTCCTGCTCAGTGCAGGTCTGGACAGCTTGCTCAGAGCTTTACCCACTTTTTGAAAAGCTGTAAAGATACAGACAACACAGCTTCTCTGGGCATCCCATCCCACTACCTCACTGACCTAATGGGGGTGGGGGTAGCGAATGTTGTCCCTATATTTTTATTATTTCCCTTATATTTGTTATTTTTACTTACATTACTTTCCCAAGAACAAAACTCACCATACAAAGGAGTGGGAGAGAGCTGGGTTATCACACACCCACAAGCAACACCATCTACTGCCCCATTTACATACAATTTTCCATTGAAAAGTAATTACCTTTACTAAAATCACCTTCACTAAACATAGCAACGTAATTAATAATGTTAATGCAATTTAATGTTAATACAATTTCTGAAAGTAACATGTTGGACTGGAATTCGAGGGGGGGTCTTCATTTTCCAGGACTACATGTGAAGATGTACATTTGCCTCTAAGCTCAGGCCCCTACAGTTTCTTTCTTTATATGGGAGGTATAACCCATATAATCCCACATAGACTATTTATCCTGCTAAATCCTACAAGGCCAAAATGTTTACTAATAAACTTCAATTTTAGAAAGTTTAAGACACACATTTTTTTATTCATGTCGGTAAAGCAATTTGACATCAAGCTTCAATAGAAAAGAGCATACAAAGGCTCAGGGTCTGTCTTCTTGTGTGTGCTTTTATATAACCCCTAGTTCTACAAGGTCATGGTCTTTCTCTGGGCCTTCCAGATATTAGCAGAACAAAATTAAATGAAACAATTAATTTATTTGTATTGAAGTTTGTATGACTCACCATCAGTGACTCATTAATACCACACACCACCTTGCTGTTGGTTTGAAAGTTCAGGGATTAATCTGCTTGCAATACGATTGTCCCTTCACAAGGAAATGCACTAAAGGCTACAATGGTATTAACCAACCACAATGTAAACTTTTCAAAAGGCTTTAAACCAATGTCCTTCATATCTCCAAGCTACCCATGAGGTTCACCAAAATGCAAACCTAACATTATACCTGTTTCTCTTACTCCTTGATCAATTCACACACAGGAAGGTGAGCTAAAATTAAGCCAGAGCTGAACACCGGAGACAGGTTCTACCAGAAATCAAAAGAAAAATTACAAGAGTGCAATTCTTTTCCTGTTTTGGGAACTTGGTGCCTCACAGATCACTCCTGCTACAGGATTGAAAGGATAGTAATACAACAGTAGACTGAAAATTCCTCCTTGGTTTCTGCAGAGTTTGATCAATTTCAGATGATGTTTAAGTGGCCTGTAAACAATATCTTCCTATTTTGTATAAATGGATTACCAGAATGCACAAAAAATAATATCATTTTAATACAATATAATTTTCTAGAAGAATCCTCTAATCTGCAAATAGGTATTTCTAGATAACACTATGAGACTGCGTAAGATAGCTACACATTCAAACTTCTGGTCGGCTGAGATCCTTAGCTTCACAAAACCACAAAGAAGAGCTGCATAACACAGCCATAGCCTGCATATTTGTAGTAAGTCAAATCCTTCACAAAACACCAGAGCTCCTACTCAAGATATAGTAGGTATGTGACAGAGGCACAGCAGGCCTGCCACTTCTCCAAAACACTGCCTTTCCTTCCCAGACTGCTCCCACGGGCAGCAAGGAAGCTTGGCAACAGCCTAACCCCCAGGTGAGACCTTCTGCCCTGGTACAAACTGATGAACCGCGATCCAAAAGAAGCCTGGTTGGCACTACTGCCACTATCAGAAGCCAGTGCTGCTGATGGCAGTTTTCACACCACAAAATATGGTTGAAGCTGTGCCCCTGGCACCCGACCCAGCAACCTCTATTTCCTTCTAACAGTACAAAATGTAACTTCATTATTAAGTTTACTACTGGAAAATCCAGTTTGGCTGTGCAATTAGAGGAGGCCAGCAGGGCCTGCTGCGAGATTCCTTTGGTGTTAGGGAGGAGGAGCCCAAGCCTGAAAGAGACACATGGCTGCGTCTGCGTGGGCGGGGGGGGTGTTTGGTGTGATGGAGGGGCGTGTATGTATGTGTAATGTGTGGTGTGGCGTGTCTGTGTGCATTTGCGGGCTGTCTGTGTGGGGAAAGAGCGGGTGTGTGTGTATGTGTGTGGGGAGTGTATGTGTGTGTATGTGTGCGGGGTATGTTTGAGTGGGTGTATGTGGGACAGGTATGGGGTTGTGGAAAAAGGGGATAGGATTGGGGATGTGTGTGGAGGGGCTGTGGGCGTGTAGAGGGCATGCTGGGGAGGGGATGGACACCCACAATCTGCCCCACGCCCCGCGCTCACCTGCCGGCGGGACCGCGGCCGCTGCTCCCCTCAGACCCGGCCGTCCCCGCCGGACGCCGGCATCGCCCCGCCCGTTCCGGCCGCCGCC